AGAGTAGGGGGGGATAATCGAATCCGGACCCCCCCCCCCCCCCCCCCCCCCCCCGCCCCTCCCGTGCTTATAACTAACTGCCTATGGAAGTGAAAGCACCAGAAAATAAATAAAGTCATACACAGCTGTCATCCGTACGCTAGGAAGTAAGCACAAGATGCCGAACATCCTTAGCAGGATGCAGCGCACCCTTCATGCGACTCGCCAAATACCTCACGGCGCTTCGCGCTTGGTGATGTGAGAGCCTGGTCCGGTGAAAACCCGGCGTGCTCCGTCCCGGCTTTGTAGGGATGCGAGGTCAATGGTCTAACGACTACGGCATGAACGACTATGAGTACCCCCCCCCACCCCGTCAAACACATTTATTTATCCCACACAAATCCGACCGTGTCATTCATTTCCCGAATAGACCGCAATTCGTATTACAGACGTCTCAAACTCACGTCAAGGCAAAAAAGGGAACGTTCTCTGAACGTTCTTGGAACGAGACGTCTCCAATCTCCGGGCCCCAACAACACGGTTTGGACGCTGTAAGTCGCCCCGGGTGGTGGAAGGCACGGGGCCCCTTCCTTCCGTCACCACGACCCGCTGTGAACTTATTCGACCAGGCTCGCCAAAACCGCCATTCACAGCCTTGTTTGTTCGTCGATTTTCTCAAGTTCCTCAGGTTCCTGGGACTGCACGAATTCCCCACTTTTATCGCTTTCCCCTAGAACTGTCTCAGCGTGGTGTCAAGCTTGCTGGCGAAGGGCACGGCGCCTTCCACCATCATGAGAAACGCGCCCTCGAACTGTGCTGTTCTGTTACCGCCTGCGTTCGCCGTCGTCCACTTTTCTGGTCATATCACACTACTCACTCTTGGTTGTGTGTGGGGGAAAAACTGCACCGACATCGGAAGTTGGGGGGCAGCGGCCCGGGTGTCAAGATTGATCACGGGTCTCTTGTCGATACGTGTTCGAAATAGAGCGAGGGCAGCAGAACACCGCTTTGACGAAGCAAACGTACCCGCCTACAGGAGATCGGCGTCGAAATCATCATCAAAGGCCAGGTCTCGTGTGCAGATTGCACGCGAGGGGGATAAGAAAAACTCTGCATTACATACGTATGCACTAGAAACGCATCTCTCTCTACGCGCTCTCTGTGCGAAAATTATGAGTCGCGCGTGCAATAACTATCTTTGTGCCGAGAGAGAGGTTGAAGCTACTGTCGAAGGCTGGCTATGTTGTAGCGGCGGCTGCCCCGGCGAGGGATGCATACTATGAAGCGCCTAGACTTTGCGGTCTAGGCGTGGAGGGCGCGGTGATCCAATCTTGGAACCGTTGGTAGGGAGGTGGTTCCCAATGGCAGGACCCCGCCTCCCAGGCAAGCCACGCGTCGTTAGATGCGGCCCTGAGAAACTGAAAGAACCTGAAAGCTTGAAGTGCATGCTGAACTGAGCTGATATCGTGACCTGAGCTAACCTGAGCTAACTGACGAAGAGCTAACGGAGCCCTATATTGTAGCGTGAGTGCGTGCAGCCCTCGTGAGGAGTAATACGGAGCATATCTACTACTGAATCTTTGCCGGTGGTCTAGAGCAGGTGAGGTATAGCTAATAATGTACATCCAGTTTGCATGTAGATGAAGCAGCATTATGGCTAGCTCTTCCAGCACTACTTACATACTGCTCCTGCATTCACGTGCCAACGCAAACGACGAGTGAGTGCAAAACTGTTCGTGAGATGGGGCGGATTTGATAAATCTACTACACTACTGACCACCCCCCCGTCAGATTGCCGACCTCCTCAGCAGGATCTTAGAGTATGCAACAACCCAGTTGTTTGTTGTGGATTTTTGTATGGACAGGTAGGCCTGCCTAGGCTTTTACAGCAGACACCTGTTCAATGTGTACATAAAAAACAACTGCCTCCCCCAAACTCCCCCATACCCTTCCCATCTTTCGACGGCAAAACTTTTCGACTCGAAAATAGTGAGGCACGCGTACACTCGCCTCCGGCTTGCGTCAGTCAGCTTGCGCCAATCAACCTTTCTATCCCGCTGAGGTACAGCGGGCAGTGCTGCATCGTTTGGTTTTGTGCATCTGCATATGCCCAGCTCTGCGCTCTGCATACGTCGAGTCGAGAGCCGAGAGTGGAATCGTGGAGTCGTCTAGTCACGCATACCAGACTGTCAGCCTACCAGACTGTACAACTGGGCCAATCAGAACGACGTCCTGTTGCCTGTGTGCAGTCCCCAGGACAGAGAGCCCAGCAGCCCAGGAGTTCAGCAAACGGCTCTGTGCACACAAACACATACACGTCGGATGACCAGCGCAGTTCTACCCCTTACAAGCCAAGCGACCCCCAGTCCCGCCGAAAACGGCCACCTTCACACGAGACGGGCGTTGCAAATGCTCCGAGAAATCCGAAACTTGCTACCTGCGGACCATTACTCTGGTAGTCTAGAGGTGTTTGGGTGTTTGTGCCCCTGGCTCTCTCGCTCCGCTCTGCTGGCCGTATCTGCGTTCCACGCGGCTGGTTCCGATTTATTTTCGATTTTCCGAAGATGTTGTCACGCCGTTTGTACATGTAGATTGTAGACGACGGCGGCGTCCAGCATCAACCATGTATGAGTTCTGACTACACCCGACTACCGCCTCGGTCCTCTCGCGTCTCTACAGCAGCATCATCGCATCATCGCCACATCCTTCAAGAGACAGAGCGGAAGGAAGTACGTGGTGAGCGTTCCTATGCCCGCTCTCCTCTGGTGCATCGTACGTACGTTGTCCCGTTGCTGCGGTACCGTTGACGAGATGCATGCAAGGTTCCCGTGCCTTTGGGTAGGGGTTGAACCGATATTTGGGCAGCATCTCTTTGGTCTACATACTTTTCTAGCTGAACCTCAAGTAGAGTTTTGCCCAACTGGTCTCAGGTCTCAGTGACGTGAGATTGGCAGAACCGATTAGAGTACTCCTTGTAACCGGCACAAGGTCTACTTTCGCTACAGACGAAGAACTTACGGCTGTCAACTTTTGCGACCAACTCGACTCTGATGTCTCGCGCCTGTACTTTCGAACACCCTCTGTATGCACTGAGGATTATTGCCACAGGCACCCGACCTGCAATTGAGCAGAATTCGCGCTTTACCCCGGCGGTGTGGACACAAAAGTGCGTCGGCGGCGGCGTTGGGCAGCTGCAGAAGAATTGATAGCAGAGCATCGAGGGAGCGGGGGACACTGCTGTATCATGTCTGATTGGATCTCAATTTCAAAGGTGCGAGCGATGCAGGCTCCTGATCGTTATTCTCCCTTGAGCTTGTTTGCTTTCCACATAATACTCTAGAGGCTATTTATTTCACGATACCGCGGTTGTACCCAAGCCGCAGGGTGGCAAGTGGCAAGACGGTGTCGGACCTGTATATAGGGATGTGGCAGGAACGGACGAAGAACGTTGATGGGAGCACGCAGCGCAGAGGTAACGTTATTTTGGCGACCGAAGGCAAGAGCGGCGGATCGCCGGGTTGCCCGCCGTTGCCTGAAGCCTGTTTCTAGTTCCGATCCGTGTCGACACACGTGAAATTCACCCCTACACGTAGCTGCCTTGGACGACCCGCACTTGAGCGGAGGATAAAGCTTGAGTCGGCGAGTACAGCAGTGACAAAAAAAATTGGTTTGGGTCCAGATTTGCCAAGTATTAGTTTTTCATTTTCGACCCAGTGTCCCCAGCAATAGATCTGAGTTTATCAGCATGCACATATGCACATCGCTGCTACATGGCGTCGTATACTACCGGAGTTGTATTCCTACGAGTACGGCAGTAAATTTAATACCGTAGTTTCTTTTGCAATTGGTCGGTTGTACGTTGCGGGATTGTGTCTTTAGCACTGCCTGATTGAAATACAACTTACCGAACATGTTCATGGATCCCTCTGCGTGCACCGCGGTGCAACACATGAAAGGAATGTGGCGCCCCGGTTTAACCCTCCCCGTATTGAAAGCACCACCTGAAAAATGCCGCAGCACCGAAGTTGTGGCTTCGGATTCACTTGTGGTAGCGCGCCATCTTATGCCCGACGCGGGGTTTTAGATAGATAGGTCCAGACATCGGATAAATCAAGTTCAAGCACGCCGTTCTTGCTTTCTTGCGCACCTCGTTGCGATGAACCCGAGGGTACAGACAAGGCCGACAGAGGCGAGCACGCCAACAAAATTAATTACTCACCAGGGAATCACATCGAGTTAAATAGTCCGTGGCACAAGCCATGATCTAGCCCGCATTCACCACTCGCTGCAAGGGAACCCAAGCTGCCCCTTGCCAATATCAGTTTTCGTAACGCCTTACAGGCGTGAGTGTGCTTTCCTGCGATGCCTACAATCGCAGACTTACTGGTCCCAGAAAGTCGCTGTGCTGGTCAGTATTGCACCTATCCGTATCATCGCACCGGGGTGCCTGAATACAGCAGCATATTGTAGGATGAGCAAAGCCAGCCTAGTTTTTTTTTCACTATCGCACCTGGAGTGATCTGAAAAGCTTGTCAAAATGGTTGATGTTTTTCCGCATCAAGATCGTGGTTTTCACATCCATCGGGGATATCGCACCGGCGTGTGACAAAACGCGAAAACCCATACATTGCCGCGGTGCCTTGGCCCGCACGATTACGGAAATACTAATATTTCACTCCGAAGAATTTTCTTGAGCACCCGCCGTGTGGTCTGTGTTCTCTTGAATGTTGAGACTGGTATGTACAACTTTTTGCCGTAACAAGGAAGGGTGTGGAGGTAGTTTTCATGAAGCTGGTGGAAACAACCCCCAACCGCTCGCCTGTGCGAGAGACGACGGGACGATTGTTGCTTAACGCGTTCGACCTCGCCCGTTGTAGATACCTCGTGTGTGATTGCTGGGAAGTAATGTGTATTGTTTTCAAAACCACAATCAAGAACCGAGATCGGTTGTATCACCCGCTCAGAAGTGTCTCGCCTCCTAGATAGTTTCGGTGTCAAGGGCCAACCTCTACGCCTTTACATGTCTGTGCTGTTGGGTAACGAGAACGAGTTCTTGGTGCTTGTTTCGCGCTGAATCCGGCATTTTGGACGGCGGGAAGTGTGTACTGCACACGACGTTTTGTGCTTGGAGCAAGGTGTTACAGAGACTACACGTTGTAGGATTGGAAGTAAAGGAACGACGAAGAGGTCGTATCTTGTTGGTGTCGTGATACTGTAGTCGGCATGCTGGAGACAATGAAGCAGACTTGCTACTGACTCGGATAGTTTCACTAATGCGTTCACAAGCTTCATCGACACTGCGGACATGACCGAGAAAGCGAAGTCGGCACCAAAAACAAACCTTTCCCTTCAACGTACTTCTCCGAATACAGATTCGGTTGCAGAATATACCGGTGCCGGTGAAGGGACGCCCAGATTTCTTCAGGGTAGTGTTCTTCGATGGAACGGTGGAGGTCAGGACGAAATCCAAACGAGCGAACCTTGACGGTTCGGTCCAGTGGACAGAGCGGCTAGAGGTTCTGGCGGATGACACCGCCATCAAGCTGGTGGCCACTGTTCAGCAGCGTAGTTTCCTCGGGGATTGGGTCACAGGGCCCGACTTTCGTTTCATTGGCTCCTCGCTGCCCAGCAAATGGCGTCATATGTCCGAGCTCCCCTCCGCCCACGAGTTTTACGCCGAGCTGAGCGTCAATTGTCAAGAAGACCTACCGCCGTCCACAAGCACGTACAAGCCCGAGGCCCATTTTCGTGGGCCCTCCAAGCTTCCTAGTCCCAGCTCTTTTAGTTCTTCAGGGTCCGGTAGTGTTCGCAAGGGTAGCGACAGCTACTCCCCTTCCTCGGTGGCCGCAACGTCGAAGACCTTGTTGTCATCTGCGGTTGGGGGCGGCTTCTTCGGTGGTGGCACCAGACGAGGGGCCTCTTTTGAGGGATGCTCGGGCTCCTCCGCTGTGTCGGCGTCACGGCCGGCACGTGCAACCCACGAGACCAGGCCGCGGTACAGCTATCCGCTACGACAGGAGGGAGGGCTGTGGGGGGTGGTAGGCTCAACAGGGATGGTGCTTCGTTCCCGTCCGGGGTTGGCGATGTCGCAATCGTTTTCTTGGTCACCACCAGCTTCTCCGATCGCACGGCCAAAAGATGCTCCCGCTTTTCAGCAGCGGGCGGGCGCAAGCGAGGCTGCGGGAGAATCGTCTCCGCCATCGTCAAGCTGTTTCTCTTGGTCGCCCCTCGTCTCTCCGTTAGCATTGCCAGATGAAGCTCCTGAGAGAAAATGGGTAACGGCAGGGGCTGCGGCAACGGGGAGTGGCGCAACTTTAGCACCGATTCTGCCGGGACCGGCGAGGTCGGGGTCCTCCTCTCGGCCGCTTGTAAAGCCTCCCGCAGCGTTGGCAGATGATCTCACTGCAGTCCAGCAGTTCCGCGAGGCCGGTGGGATTTCCCCGGGGAATAGGTCTGCGACTACGCTGGATATTGTGGATGGACAACGCAAGTTGGTAAGAACCTGTGTTGCTAAGGTTAAGATGAACTGTTCCACAGCACACACCGTATCGCCGTGCTCTATCTATGAGTACAGTTTTTTTCCATCACTTCATTTGCAGAAAGAGCTGTTTTGGCAGAAGCACGTTCATTGCACACACATCCGCGAAGTGGACGCCTGTTCCTCTCGATACAATCGATCCGCGGGCATGAGCGCAACGAGGTGGACCGTTCATGTCGAATGTCTATCCGACGAATATGGAAGCATCCCTTAGGCGACTTCTCCAAGGGGAAGATGCCCCAAGGGAGAACCGCTTTGCATCGATTGTTTTTTTTATTGATGTGTCACGCCCAACCGTAGAGTCGTAATTGGCCCTCAACACCGAGTGAGCTCTAGATGTTTCCAACGCACCAACGGGGCACCCTGGTTCAATCTATGATTCGTCTCAACTATCAAAGTTGCCGCGTACTCCACGGGGTACTCCACGGTAGTTTACGAGGCACACGCGAAATCGATGTGACCAACGACGAACGAGATATTCCGGTACTCTTACGCTATCCTCGTATCACACGCTACGTCTCTCTCACATGCGCGCAAGCGTGTCGCTTCGCTACTCTCTTCCTCTGTCTCGAAAATGTTGACCGAACCGCGTTCAGTCGGCAACAATATGTCCAAACCACAAACACAAAATGGCCCCGTGATGCCCTCCTCCTGTGTGACCCCGCCTGGTAGGCGAACACGAACACCGAAAGGTATGTAGACTGTGATGCCAGAATTGATGGGACGAACACACACGCACATACAGACGGCAAGACTTCAATTGCAGAACCTTCAACAATTATTCCGACGGCGGTGTGTTTTGAGTTTAAGCTTACCACCCGGTTGAACAAGTTGGATGTCCCCACCACAACCTCACTAGTGTTGAAATCTGAAGTAGACACAATCGGATCACCATACGTTGCACTTGTGGCATCGCGGTCTCGCTGTCTAGGTATGCTGACCACGTAATCCATCGATGCCGACCAAGCCGAACGAGACAGCAGTCGTTGTGTACTTTTGGTATGGGGGTCAGCCCGTTGGTCCTCGGGGCTCCGATGTTCCGTCGCTGCCGTCTATGTGCCGGTCACCTTCCAAATATCACACAAGGACTCGATCACCACCCGAGGTCCTTTGTAGCATATAGCATATACTAGATTAATAACTCGCTGCCCACGACGCGAGGTGCGGGGACAGGATGTTCAAATGAAAATGCTTGTCAGAGTTGGCTCGTTGTCACTTGGTGTCCTTTTCGTACGTCGGGGACAATTAGCTGTGTTGGACAGCCCAGTGAAGTTCGTATCGATTACTGTTGGCAGAATGTGTTACTTTGAACAATGCGGACTCTTCGGCTGATTGAGCTGACGTATGCAGTTTTCGTTGTCTCTCCCGTATTATTCTGGCGGCAGCCCGCCAGGAAATGATCGTGCGCCTTTGGTCCGCGCAGGCCATGTACACAACAATAGAGTCCACCTATATCGCGGGTTCCGTGCCAACCCGAGAAGCCATCTTCTCAGCAGAGGTTGATGGAGCTTGGGTTCAGGAAGAGACTACTCCAGACAGAAAACTAGCGGGCCCAACAAAATGACACCTGACCTACCTGTGTATACTTGGTGCGGGTAGTGCTTGTGCTTGAGGTACTGTAGACACTAACTGGGCACCAGGCGATGCCCGAGAACCCTTCCGTGAGCACAGCCAATAACATACCTTCGTCGCAAGGAGTGGGCATTGACCGAAAATACCCACGATCGGTATAGCTATTGCTACACTCGTCGGAACCTCTCTTTCCATCGCCATCGAGTATCATCAATGTCTTATGATTAATGCTCCTCCTGCTACAATGTATGGTTTTCGTGTCTTGCTGACCTACTGCAGTGAGATAAAAGAGTAGAACGAAGCACAAACCAATTCAACTTGAGTGCGCTGCACCCGCTCACAAGCAAACGTCTCGTGGGAGCAGCGTGATTTTTCAATACACCATAGAAAGACTGCCCGTTCGAGATCAGCCTTTTTGGAAAGTGCGTAGAAGTCTCTACAGTACACGTCGAGGGAACACCTGTTGGATGCTGGAGTTAGTTGAATCTCTTCACCCTGAGAAAACGGGGATGCCAGCGGGAATCAAGACTCGTAGTGATCTATGATTTTTATGACGTCCCGGTGCAAGTCTGAAGGGGCCAGGAAAAACAATACAGGGGAAGACACCCTCCGATATGTCGTGTGTAACTCTACTTCTTTCATGGGGAGACGTGTATATCGCTGCGTCGTCGTTGTTCTTCCAGAGAACTGCGACAACTTCCAGTCATTTTTTCTCGAATCACGTGGTATGCTTAACGATTTGGCGACGTTTGACCCCACGCTACTGACATCCTTGTGCTATGCATAGGTAAGGAGTATCATTTCTCGCATTTCCTACTGTACGAGTTCACTGCAAGGTGACTTGCTAATAATGCGCGACACCATGGAGCACTGGTCCAGCCAAATACCAATGACCGCTTGCGGAGACAAAAGAGAGAGTAAAGCAGGACGAAAGGGCGCCAACGGTGTGTCTAACGCGCATTGCGAGGTCGAAAGTTCAGGCCAAATGGTTATTTAAGGATGAAGGAACTAGTGCAAGGACGACACTCAGGTCCTGTTTGGCGACATTGTTGTCGAACTCCCGAGGCAGTCCTTGAAGCGTCTCGTGCTTGTTGCATAGGATCACCAGCGTCCTCCTACAGATGACTAGTCTTGCGCTTCGATCGAGCGTGCCGTGTCAGCTTCCTCCAGCATGTCGTGTGTACGCGGTTTTACATTTTGAATGTGGAAACCGACCAATGTACGGGCATGGCGTTTCAAAACCAATCTGCGACGTAACTTCGCCATTTCTGTGCCATGGAAGCTCTCGCAATGAGACTTCCCTCGTTTCTGGCATTGTGTACTCCCGGATAGCTGAACGCTCTCCCTCCACTCTTTCTACCGGGAATTCTTTTGGACAGGCGGGTCTTCAACCCGAAATGGCAATGTTTCCGGAACCAAGTATCGACGCGATGCAGCACCACACGAAGGAAGAGCTTCTCACGCAAAACCTCCATGACGTAGTAGCGGAGCTGGGGGCAGACCACGTCCAGGCTGCCGTGGCTCTAGACGAGCTGGCCCTGTGTGCTCGAGGGTCTGGACGGCTGGGGGAGGCCGAAAACTTCTTCAGGCAAGCTCTCCGCATCAAGGAACAAAAGCTGTCGCACGGTGACCTCGAAGTCGTCTGGACATTGGAGGGGCTAGGCCGGTGCCTGCGGGAGCAGGGGCGAGCAAGAGAGGCGGAGCTTTGTCTAAGCCGGGTAGTCCAGGTCAAGGAGGCCAAGTTAGGGCCCCACGATAAGAGTGTCGCTGTCACCTTGCACGAGCTGGCCCGATGCGTGCGGCAGACGGGGAGGGTGGAAGAGGCGGAGGGGCTTCTGAGGCAAGCCCTCTCGATCAAGGAGGCTCTGGCACCCTACGATATGAGCGTCGCCGTGACGTTGCACGAGTTAGGTCGCTGTACGCGAGCAGCAGGGCGACCGGAGGAGGCTCGACGACTACTGGAGCGAGCGCTCCAGACGAAGAAAGCGAACGTGGGAGCCCATAATCTTGAGGTTGCCTGCACGCTGCACGAGCTGGGCTTGTGTATGTTGCAGACGCGGCAGATCAATGACGCTGCCTTTTTGTTCGAACAGGCGCTCCAGATTAAGGAAGACAAGCTGGGGGATTGCCACCCACAGGTTGCCGTCACGCTTCATGAGCTGGGTCGATGTTCGCGGTTAGCGGGTCGATTGCCCGAGGCCCAAACGCTTCTCGAGCGAGCGCTTCAGATCAAGGAAGCTAGGCTTCCTCCGCACCACCTGGAAATTTCCTGGACGCTGATTGAGTTGGGACGGTTTTTTCGAGAGGCGGGGCGATCAAGAGAGGCGGAAACACTCCTTCGGCGCGCGTTGCAGATCCAGGAGGCGAACCTCGGGCACGAGCACGTGAGCGTCAACTGGACGCTGCACGACCTAAGATTATGCGCGAAAAATGCCGGGTCGTCCAGAAATATAGCCAGAAGACTGCGATAAGCAGGCCAACGAACCCTCCTCACACAGACGAAGAGAAACCTGTGGGTGTGGGTCGCGACCAATCAGGCCCCGTCCCCGGGTAGGTCGGCGAGCTCTCCTTTCAAGAGCCCTTGGGGGTCGTTATATATATTAAATCAAGCTTTGATATTTCCTCTAGCTTATATAGGTAGAGGGAGGGAGGACCCTTTTGTATGGTGTCTCTCGTGTAAATGGTCTGAATTTTCTCACAGTAAGTAGGAAGAATTCTTTACACAACAAGGGCGTAGATCTCTCGAAAGTTGTGAGTTGGGCGGTTTTCGAGTATAAAAGAAACGCCGTTCCTGTTTTATCCCCCCAGGTCAACCCTTGGGTGGTGGGGTTGTGGCCAATCGAATGCAATACATGTGAGCACCCAATCTATTGTCCTTCGAATGCACGACCAACCATAGTATTTTCTTCTTACTCTTTGAAAATATTCCGTACTAATCGCTGGCAGCGTCCACCACCGGACGATCATGCCACCAGTGTAACGGGACGCCCCGACGCGGAGAAACCGCGATGAAGCGTAAGAGCAGCCGATGAGCTCCAACGTGGAGGATGCTGATAGAGGCGTAACACCAACGCAATCGGCGCGTCTACGCAGCCCCGCTGGAAAAGGGGGCTGGAGCAGTCGGCCAGACTGCGACCTCCCTCCATCCGCAACAAAACCACGGGGTCATAGCGTCTCTCATTCACTCAAGTGACGATTCCCCGTACACGAAGAATACTTTCGCGTATGTACGTGATATATCAGTTGCCAATTCCATTGTGAGGACCAAATCTGGTATCCTCGACCTGAAGCGTCAGCGTGTGAGATGGTAGGAATCAACCGCACAAAGGAGTCGAATCGTGATGTCAGCTCAGTTTCGAGTCTGCGCATCATCCGTGTTCGCAACCCGCCTTTCGGGACTAGCACAGACACACAAGCCATCAGGTAAGTCCTTCCTGATGGGGAATTCAGATGGACCCATCCGTCATAAAAAGGTGCATACCCAACTGTTGCTGCACCGGTGGGTGCAAGGAAGCCAGATGGGACGCTTGCCGCAGGTCCCTCTCAACACAGAACATCCCATGGTGTAGACAATAGAAGGCCAAATGACGGAGGTGCATCTAGTCTAGGAGGCAACATGGCCCGGTCGACTCGAGGAGCTGATTTGACACGCTTCCGAGATCGCGGGCAAGTAAACAACCCATGCTGTCTGCGAGGAAAGTCGTCTTCCTGGCCCGAGAACATGTCGACAACACCAACACAAGGAAATCACAGTCTGGACGTCGGGCCCCCTGCCTCTAAACCAGCATACAGTGCCGCGATGACCTTGGAGTACGCCTCCAGCGCCTGCGCCCTCTTGAGCTTGAACGTCGGCGTGAGCAGGCCGTTCTGAGCGCTAAAAGGATCAGGCTCCAAGTGAATAGCTCGGACCTTGGTATCAGGAAGAAGACAATTGGGGAGGAAGGCGGGGCGGGTTCGTTGCAGTCAAGAGGGTTTGGATGCAACACAACAGTGGGCGGGATGCGGTGTCTTGTGCAACGGGGCGAACACAGTAGCCAAACGTCAAGCCAACTGTCGGGGAATACACTTGCAACGGTTCGCGTGCGGCTGTGATGAAACCAAGTGAATCTGACGGGAACACGCCTGGATTTCCCACACTTAACGCCAAAGTTTTCACTCATGATAAGCGCCAGTCATGTCTGCCGTGCGTGCGACTCTCCCGCCGCTAACCTTCTCGAACCGCTGCAGTCCGGCTCTCTCAGCAACGGTCTCCAGCTCCAGCATCACATCTGCTTTCAAGCCTGGGTTTCGGCAGAGCTCCACCATCGAGGCGTTTCTGTCGGGGCACCAACAACGCAAGGAGAGGGATTCGGGTCATTTCGAAGAGCGTACAAACCTGAACCAGCAGCAGCCGATACTACTAAAAGCGGTAGGTTAATCTGGTCACCAATGCTGTCCAGGCACCGTCTGCGTCGAGAGCAAGCCGACGCAGGCATGAGAAGTAAGGCAGCCCGAACCCGCCACCTCCATCATGGTTGAGCGGCAAAGAGCGTGCGAGGGTAACCAACACGAAGCGCGCCAAACTCCACCCGACAGCAACCAACAGGCCGAAATACGCCCCGCCCAAACAGAAACGGATCCAGTGCCAACCCTAGGCGCAGTGAACATGGCAACAGACCCCGAACAAAAACAGAAGGACGCCCGCGCTCACCCGCATCCGTTCGCGTCCGCCCAACCGGCGGCGGCATCCGGGTCCGGCACGATTATAGCGACGAGGGAGCTCCGCAGGCTGTCACCGTGCACGTACGACTGGGCCACGAGGGGGCTCTGGGTATGGATATTCTCTAACTTCTCGGGAGCCACGTACTCCCCCTGTCAGCGACACAATTTTCGGGGGGGGAGGGGGGTATTTCACGTACGCATTTACGCCTACGTTGAGGAAAGACGACAAACACGGTGACTTCTTCGAGAAGTAGGGAGTTCGGGTAGAAAGAAGTGCTGGATTTCAGCACAGTTTGTGCGCTTGCCGTCTACGTCACGGCTTGCACTGCTGTCTTTCGAAAAAAAAACACCAGCAACGACGACGAAACAAAAGCATGATGATGGTGCTTTTGGGGCAACAAACATGCCCACCATAATAAAACAGAGATATGCATACGGTACCAAGAATGCCAACAACGCCGGAGAAAAACCGCACTATTTCCAATCTTGGGCGAAACCCTTACCTGGGAAAGCTTGAAGATGTTCTTCTTGCGGTCTGCTCTCGCGGACCGTTGCGCCCGAACCCAGATGTCACGTCGGGTCGCAGTGCACCCGGTCCAAAGCATTGAATGCCAACCGCACATATCGTCGTAGACGCCGGTTGGAAGAATATCCGACAATCACACCACAGCATGAACAAGCAGCTTAGTGACAACGACAGAAATTTCAGGAGTGACATTCGGCAGAAATACCTTCTACGGTGTATTGCTCCACCAAAAAGCGTTCAGGACCAAAGTTTAACAGCAACAGCACACGCGGGAAAACATCCGTAGCAAACAAAAAATCAGCAGTAGTGACCAAAACCAACTCCACCAAAACCACCGTCCCTGCCAAAAAACAAGCCTACCACCAAACGAAACAACTTGTCACAGCACGCGCACGCACCGATAATCTTCAGCGCCCCATCTAAATTCCACATGCCGATGTCCCCCGACATTAGCCAGCCGTTTTCGTCGAAAGCCTCTCGCGTCTTCTCATCGTCTTTGTAGTACCCCACAAACACATTGCACCCACGGAAGCAAATCTGTACATGGGAATTTAGGGAGTAACGGGGCACGCGTGTGGGGGCGGGGGGTGGGCATGTGTTTCGCGCCACGCATTAGGGTACAAAGACTATGCAAGGGGTGAAATAAACAAGAGACGGGTACTTGTGCACGGCGAAGAGGGCTTCCCCCGCCCCTCGCAACCAGCCTCGCCGACACGCCTTGTCGGAGTACCACCGCCGGTGCTGCGTCTCCAAGAAACACCAACACGGGGTGCAACCAAACCGACCTCGGACAACCAACAACCAACCAAATCACCCCCGACCCCGGTAAAGCACACCTCTCCTCTGCCCTCGCACGCCTCGCCGCCGCCACCGGCGTCCCTCGGGTCACCCCCGTGCCACGTGTCCGTGTGTCGGTAGCCCATCTCGGGGACGTCCTTAAGGCAGATCTCGGTGCAGCTGAACGGGCCGCCGACGTGGCCCACAGAGAAGTCGCCGCTCTGGGTCATGGTCGAACCAGCCGTGGTTTCGGTCTGCCCATATCTGTAGCAGATACATGCGCACGAAAGGGGCGCTGTGTGTGTTGAGTTTGGTCCGGAGATTTGGCGGGAATGAGGCCGCATTCAAGCCGCGCAGGGTTTTAGAACCCGCCACGAGAGTGAGCGCGCTGCGAGATGCCGTTGCCCGATCTTCCAGACAAGAGCACTTGCGCCGTGAACAGTTCAACGCCGCGTAAGGCCTCTCCACACCCAACGTACGCACAACCACGCGCACACAATCCCCCCCCCCCCCCCCCCCCCCCCCGGCTTGTTGGGCCCCGGGGGTTGGGTTTTCCTCCCCCGGGGAGGAAGTTGTAAAAAAAACCCCCCCCCCCGGGGTTTTCCATCGGGGGTGGGTTTTCCCCCCCTGGGAACCACTTTTTAAAAAAAGCCCCCCCCCCCGGGTTTTCCCACCGGAGTGGGTTTTTCTCCCTTGG